GACCTTTTCGCTCAAAAACTGTTAACCAGCAGTACGGACCGAGACCATCAACTGCTGCTAAGAGCAGACGAAATTTATGAATCTGTTCCACCCATCTATTTTGAAGAAGGTCTGTGAGACAGGCCGAAATGTCGGTATTTGTCGATCACCAGACCGACCATATTATCTTTTGCGTTGTTTTGCGTTTGTTATCTTAAACTGTTGTATGCTGTTTTTTCTGTGTGACCATCAGCGTACGAAGGAAATGATTATGTACGCGAATTTAATTAAGTAAGGTATCTGACACCAGACAGTGTTCATTCTTCTGACAGCTGGAAGTCCACGGTACCGGTCACTGACATATCCAGTTAATATTTTCACTCGTACACTGCGTTTTGAATTGTGCGATTAGAGTTGTCGACAGCTGCACGTTGTAAAGTGTTCTGTAAACAAAAATGGGAGTTGCTATCTTGTTAGCAATTATATTTTTTCAGATTTTAATGCATCTTTCATGATGCAGATTTAATGAAACGCGAGACGAACACGCCTCACTATATGTTACGTTTACGGCATTTTCACGCCACTTTGCTATCTTGGGAGGCCTGCGAGCCAAATATGCTGGTCAGGGTTATGTTGCATTATTGCAAATGTAGTGTATATATTGAAGTAAAACTGTATCGCTTTAAAACTGAAATAGGCACCTTTCTTGTTTGCTGAATATTAAGTTTATTAGTTTTTATCGTTGGTTTCCTGCATCTGCTTCTCCGGATTGAGAAGTCACACCCTCGTTGGTTTGGGCATGTGTTACAAATGCCTCCAGATAGGAAGGCTGAGCAACTGTTTGCTGTGAAGCCGTCCGGCAGAAGGCTCCGGGGGCGGTTGTGATTAACCTGGTGCTAATATATGAAAGGAGTCTGTTCCAGACTCTAGTCGAACTTTAGACTCTGGCACAAAATGGGGAAGGTTGTAAGATCTGTCTGACGCTTTTGCCTCAGCGACGTGAAAGGAGAAGCGGCGATGCAAGATAAAGATGAAGGTAGCAAACCCTTTTCAAAAATCAGCTTTTCCCAGACTTGTGATTATTGCGAGGCTCTTCTAAATGCGATTGAGAATGATATGCCCGCGGACGGGGAGCGATTTGTTCCTGACATTTTCAGAGTCTGCTTTCTTCATAAGAAGAATCGTTCTTGATATTGATTTAATTAATGTAGACGTCTTGATTTGCCTGATGTATTCCGTAAAACGTTTGGGAAACGCTCTGAATAGGATTGATTCTCCTGCTTTTTAAGGTGTTCTCGTCTTGTCGTCTGCGTCTGGACATTTACCATTTTTGATGTTTCTGAATGCCCAATTGGCGTCTTTCCTTGTAAGTGTAATGGCCTTAGGCGAAACTCGTGGCAACTTTCGAATTCTGATTTGCGGCAGATCAGATTTATCCGATTTCGATTAGGAGTTCTTATTCCTCTTTTCGTCTTCCAGCTCACTCGAAACCCATTGTTTTAGGCGAATATCTCATTACACCGACTGCATGCTTTTCTTTTCTGTAGTTTCTCTTAATCAAATTCTCCTGTTTTTAATAGCCTTCCCTCAACTTCTTCTGTCTTTCCCTCAGCTGCACAGTGTGCACACGAAATTCAGTTCCCATTCGCCTTTAAACTGGACTCTTCTAGCCAGTGCTGCCTTTTTGAACTATTGATGCATGGATTTCTCGTAGATTTCGCTGACCGGCTGAATGTCATAACGACATTCTTCGTGGCATTAATTGACAATCATGGCCCGCATCTGTACCTTGGCTTATGTTCGTTTCAAGGTTAATTA